CGATCATCGGCGGGCAGAGTTAGGTTAGGTGGACGACATCGACATTGTTGGTCTCCCAAGATCTGCAAGGAAGATTGTAGCTTTCGGCGAGAATAAATGCACGTTTTACTCGATTCATCCTCCCTTTCTTCGCGATTGCTTTCATTCATGAGAAAATAATACTCTACTAGTAGTACCACGCGTGCGGCCGAGAGGAAGAAACAGAGGGCGACATCTAGCTCCATGAAACGCGTTGAAAAGTCAACGGCCGATGGTTCTCTGTACTGACCGTGTGAATGAACGACCTTCTCTTCTCTTTCAGGACATCGATCATGGCGAGGGACGCGCTGGCCTTGATGGACCATCTGGGGTGGAAGAAAGCCCACGTCTTCGGCCACTCCATGGGCGCGATGATTTCCTGCAAGCTTGCAGCGATGGCGCCTCACCGGTTGTCCTCGCTGGCGTTGCTCAACGTCACCGGCGGTGGGATGGAGTGTTTCCCCAAGGTACTGCGATGTTGCAACCTGCTTGTTCATTTGGGGAGCTCTGAGTACCTGAGAACAGGCCAAGGGGTTACTTTGTTTGAGATGTGGAACTTTGCCAGTGCTGACTGATATGCTGCCAATTTTTCAGGTAGATGCACAGATGCTATCTCTCGCATTCCGGTTCTTAAGGGCGAGAACTCCGGAGCAAAGAGCTCTTGTGGACTTGGAAACCCACTATACCAAGGTGAGAAATTGAGGATGCACTGTTTGTCATTGCCTGAATGATGTGCAAACTAGTTTTTCTGTGCATGCTTTTTGTTCCAGTGGTAACATGTGTCACTCAAATGCAGGAATACCTTGATGAGGAAGTTGGATCCTGCACAAGGAGAGCAATCCTGTACAAGGTGAATGCCATATACTTGCACGGAGTATTCATTATTCTTCCTGCTAGTTTTACCGTGTGCATCAGACTAATTTTTTTGGATTATATTTGTTGATTATCATGCTGTTTGCTGGGGGTTGTCCTGTTAAGGAGGTCATTCAAGAATTCTGTTAAAGCATCTTGTAGGTGTCTGGCTAGGCCTTCTTTTTGTGGAAGTTTGGCATTATGCTTTTGCATTTCCTGCTTTAGAATATAAAGACAATGCACCGCATAGGGATAAACTGTTGGATCTTTTGTTTGGATGAAAGGAAGCTTTTGTTGTACCCACTTTGGAACATTGTCTGCATATATTTGGCTCCTTTTGTTATGGAAATTTCATCTGTACTTGTACATTGAACTTTCAGGAATATGTGAAGGGCATATCATCTTCAGGGATGCAATCTAATTGCGGGTTTGAAGGTCAAATTAACGCATGCTGGACTCACAAAGTGACAACTAAAGAACTGGATACAATACGTGCTGCTGGTTTTCTAGTTTCAGTTATTCATGGAAGGTTAGTCTTGAAATATCCAGAGCAATATGCATCCGTTTCTCAGAATCTGCACGCTTAATGTGTGTTCCTCTTTTTTCTAAGTATACCTTGCTTTACAAATAATACAGGCATGATATTATTGCGCAAGTATGCCATGCGAGACGGCTTGCACAAAGGCTTCTTCCTGCTGCTAGAATGGTGGATCTTCATGGTGCACATCTAGTCAGCCATGAAAGACCAGAAGAGGTAAGCATCAAGTTTGGTAAAGTAGTAGAGCTGGGTAGATCGAATCATTGAAATACTCACAACTGTCGTAAACCGAGCAAATAATTTCAATAGAGTTTGCATATAAATGATCATGATGGAGCTTTTTAGGATGTGCATTCGTCTGGTAGGCTGAGTTTCACGATTTAAAGCTGCATTTTCCGCTGAGATGTGAATCATGGGATCACATTTAAATTAGACATAGAAGAGTACGCATCCTGAACTTATGCGAAATGAGAATCTTATTGCTTGATGCTGCAACCTGGATGAAGAATTCCAAAGATGATCTCTGAGAGCATCGTTGGAACATGCTACTTTTGAAGATATTTTTTATCTGTCTTTAAAATGGCCTGTGTGCCCATTGCCCAGTAGAAGTGTTAATGAGGACCAGATTTTAATTTTTAACTTAAACTATGAGTACATCTCATAATTCCTTAAGCGATGTGAGCAGACATACAAACCTACAAAGTGAGACAATTGCCCCTTTCAGACACCAGTATGTTTGAGAAAGTTGTACACATTGACTTAACTATTTAAGTTGCCAGACATATATGGTTACAGTAAGACATCTTAATAGACTGACCGTCAAGACTCTCCTCAGACCTTGACCTGTAAGAACGGCTTCTTTTTGTTCCAAAGAGAGCCTTACAAAGTTACAATAAAGCATATGAATGAAATACTGATACAACTAGGTCGTCGTCAAATTCATGTTCCAAAGAAAAACAAGAAACACAATTGTGATAATGAGCATTGATTTCTCCTCTCATTCATCTTTACAAGTGACCGTAGAGCATAAGAAAGTAAGGAACTGATGTGATTATCAATCTATGACAGGTCAACAACGCCCTAATGGATCTGATAAAGGCCACCAAGTATGCGATGGCACCTCAAGAGTGGTCGTCCCAGCCGGAGAACACATCAGGTATGCTTAACCGGCTGACGGTCGCAAAATTCATTCGAAGGCTTTGGAAGGCACACCTCTTACGCTGATCTTTACAACCAGAAACCGGGGCCCTTATTTCTGCGAGGCCTGTAACCCTCACGATACGAACAGGCGAAGCTGGCAACGCTGCCGTAGCAGCGTATAACCTACTTGCAAAGTTGCAACTAAGCTTTCTTTATGTCATAGGCCTGATAGTGATGGCGTTTGAGCATGTGAGGAACATTGTAAGAGTAACGAAGCCCGTGAGGGTCGCGGCGATCGAGTCATCATAAGGTAAACAAACTCTTCCTCCACTACGTACATAAGTCGTCGTATTTCCTAATTCCTGGCAGATTCGCTTACCGCAGTTGGTGTGTTTGATTTTGCAGAAACAAAAGACATGTAAATTATACCCCCGAAGCCGGCGAGGAGATCATATTTCATGTCTCCTCCGTATACCATCTGTGGAGATGAGACGAATTTAGAGTAGCATCTCCGCAAGAATTGAACCTATTTTTCCTCCTCCCTTGAGAAAGGCCCTCTGCTCTCGGCAGAAACAACGTTTCAAGACTGAAGAACAGAGGAGCTATACCTGCATTGCGCGCACCTGGGCAGAAGCGTCGCAGGGCGTGGTGATTGAGATGTGCTGCCATACATTGTACTATTACTGTAGCTCGGAGAGAGCAAATGGATGTACCTTGTGTGATGAGTGTAATTAAGCTGTGACCAATATGTACACGGCCGCATGCTGCGTTGCGTTGTTGATGTCGGCGTTGTTGTGTACTCCATTGTTGTGCTGTGATCATCCCTTTGAATAAATCGACTCGATCTTCACTTCTCTGCACCCTTCTGGGGTAGGTGAATATTTTCTTACCTGTGCAATGTTAGTTGCGGATATACTCGTATACAACAGTGGCATATACTCCATCCATTTCTAAATATAAGATTTTTTTAGAGATTTCAATACGAACTATATATGATGTATACAGACGCATTTTAGAGTGTAGACTCGCTCATTTTAGAGCAATGGCAAATTGGAAGCCGGTATATACAAGAAAATGAAAATCACAGGTTGAAGAACACACGCACGGCGTCATAGTTGAAGAAGGGGCGGATTGATGGAAAGGAATGTTCAAAAGCTTGAGCAAGTAAAAAAAGTCCTTAGGAAATCACGGATAAGATGATTTGATCTTACCTCAGCAAGCGAAAGAGCAGCGACCTTTTTCTTCCTGGTGCAATGCAATACGAGCTCGAATGTTGCGCCGAAAGGCCCCCTTCCCCGCTCCTGCTGATGATACATGCGACAGAATGAAGGTGTCCTGGTTAGAAGGATGATGATACAAATACATGCACACTCTCTTTGCATCCTGCTTGCTTCATCAATCTGTGTCTGCCATCAAATGCTCCCTTAGGTCAGTGCCGTCTTCCGACGTCAGTGCTCTGCCGGAACATCTCAATCTTCATAACTGAACAGGTTATCATTTCCAGCCATTC